ACTTATACACTGCATGATCTCGGAAACAAGGAGTTTTTGGAAAAAATTTTTGAGACAAAAGTTGTCGGGCTCGAACGGGGCCATCCAGTGGGATACCTGAATCTTTGGCTTGGTGCCTGTGTTGGGCCCTGTGAGACTCAGGTCCAGTTTTTAAAATGAGGACCCCTATCTTTTATTGCAGATTTGTGTTTTATGGAATAAAGTAAATAAGTTTTGTTCTTAATCATTTTTTCGATAAACCCTCTGCAAAAGATGCAAAAGGCCCTCGAAGTTGAATTTTGACATACGTTACAAGTTTCGGTTTTTTGTTAGTGATAATAGTAATATGGACTGGGGATTTGATAATCTGACTAAATTGAAACTAGAGGATGTTGATCCTGCCAGTTAAGGCAAGATCAATTAACGATCCAGCCAATACACAGTGGGATAGAAGCTAAAAAGACTGGATAAAAGTCAAGATTTCGTCTGATTTTTATGAAATTTGATATAACATGGTTGTCGAAATGTTTGATTTCGAATTTGAAGTAAAAAATTCGAAATTCAGAATGAAAAATTATCAAGATCAATTTATCGAAAAATGATGAAGATCAAAACTTATTTACTTTTTTCCATAAAACACAAATCCGCAATAAAAAATAGGGGTTCTCATTTTAAAAAATTAACCTGGGTCTCACGGGGCCCAACACAGGCACCAATCCAAAAATTCAGGTACGCCACTGGATGGCCCCTTTCGAACCCGACAACTTTTGTCTCAAACATTTAATCCAAAAACTCCTTGTTTCCGAGACATTGCAGCGTCTAAGTTAAAATGGGACACCCTGTATATAGAGCCAGCAAGCTTGTGACATTTTTCGCATATCACATGCCTGATCGCCAACCATCCACTTTTTTGGCAGTCAATGATCCTCTGGTGTTATGCGATTTGCACGATTACGTGGAGCTCGAACAAACACGGGAGGTTTGCCAAAGAAGAGTGAGCAAGGTAAGCAAAACTTGATCCGAAGCTGCGCGTGGAGCTGCTTACGTCACTCGGACGTAACCTTCTTTAAAGGACCCTTCTTTAAAGGTTAGGTTAGGCCGACTGAACGATAATCGCAAATTATTCATATCTAACCCAGGGCCTGATTTTCTATCAAGCGTCACTGCTCCGACATGTGGCACAAGGCTGGCAAATAATCTTACGTCGTTCTTGCCAGTGATAATTAGAAGACCAGAAGAGAGATTTGACATTGTTTTTTTTTTCCCCTTTTAATTTCCATTCAATTTTATCGCGTATATTTACGCTTTGTGAACGTTACGCTTCTTTTTTTTCCACGTTAAAAACTATATTAACACACATAACGGGTGGGTCGTTCGTATCGCGAAGATATTAGCGTTCGCGAGAAATAATGAGGATTCGCGTCGCGATCGAAAATAGATGTTGAAAAAAATGTCGAGGGTCGAATGATAGAACGAAATGTAATGGCGCCGGGAGCGTTTCGAGAGTTACGGTTATTACGTAAGAGGATGGTATAAAAAAAAAATTATTTCTCGAATTTTTTACTTACGCACAGTAGAAACGTTCAGAGATTACGATAAAAAATAAAATGAATTTTTTTTTATCACTTGATATCTCTCTTGGGACCCCCCCCCCCGGGGG